CAGCTACCGTGACTAAACGGATTTCTGTCTTTTCCTCGAGACCGTTCCCATTGTCGAAGCAAATCCATACGACCCGATTACCTACGCTCCTCTACCCACGTACGTGACCCACCTTGACGCCCAATCATGCTTTTAGGATCACCTACAGTCCGTCACAATACTATTAAGTTGGCAACTAAGTGATTGCTTATTTTAAATAACAAGGAAAATTCAAAATTTTTCCTTAAAAATATAACTTTATTCAATCAGGTATTGTCCATTTTTGTCGATGATCTTTTGCCATCTTTCGCTTGTCTCGATAGCTTGATCTTTACTTTAGGAGCTCGCTATATCGTGGCCCGAACTATACAATACTATCATATATATTTCTATCAAGAATCTCGCCTCTAATCCGTTTTGTCTGCCTATAGGAGTACCTAAAATGCACCACGAAAAGTATACAAATCCCCTTTCGAAACGTGTTAACCGCGGTTAGCCGAATCGACGTCTCTTATCAAGTTCTGTTTGACTAGATCGTGAGTAATTGAGAGTCTAAGAGCGATTCCTCTGGTTTTGAAAGTGTCGTGGTCGTGTTTGCCTTCTTCCTTGTCCCCTAATGCTCAGGATCTCGTCGAGTTGCATCCCTACAGAGCACACAGAGAGTAATCCCCATGGACAATAAGAAACAGGATACAATTAAATATTTGAGTTCCCCGTGCCTAAATCCCTCGTCATCCGATAGGGTCGGCCTCCCGCGGAGTGGCGACAACGTATTAAAGAGATTCTTTACTTGTTACCACGTAAAAGAAATTGCCAGCGCGTGCGACCGTAACTTGGAAAGGAAATTCTAATAAACGTACAATTGCATTAACGTTCCCCGTTACTTTCGCGACCGAAGTCCAGCCTTTCGATACGTTCCGCGCGTTAAGGAACACCCAGTGCAATATCATGAATTTTTTATTCTTCAATTTCCTTTCGTCGACCGCCAGGCAACGGCGCTTCCAGGTTCTCGAGTCATGCAACGAGCTATCCGATATTCTCAGCGCACGAGCGCATCTTTCTTTCAGGACTTTCTTCTCGAACGCCTCCAGCACGTGTGTACCCCGTAACAGTGTAATAATTGTCACGTTCGTGGCAATCAATCCCCGATCGTGCAAATATTTGTCAAGCAAAGTCTCGTAAATTCTCCTTTCGCGACGTGTCTCATTCTATCGAGAGCAAAGAAAGAGGAATCAAGCAAGAGACGACGAGAAGTGGAGGGCACGGTTGGTAGAAAAGAAGGGAAAGAAGAAAAGAATTATCGTTCTTACCGTGGCACCTGTTGAATACGCATTCGCGTATCTACCTGTTCGTACTCTATCGGCAATTACTTGGTCGCGATGGCCAAGCGCTGCGTGTGCGTTTTACCATCGAACCGATGGGGGTCTGTCTTCCCATACGCGATACCGATCTGACAAACGGTTAACAATGTCGCTCGTCGACAAGAACGTTAAGGGACGATTGATATTTAATGCAAGGGAATGCCGATGCAACGAAAGCTATCGTACCATTTATCCTCGTTCCGGCGGCCATCAAGGTCAGGCGTGATCTTGCCACGTCATATATCATCGTTACGAGCAAGCCGGAATACCAGTTAAGGGTTAAAAGCTGCCTTTATCAATCCCGGCCGAGCCCTCGGGTCTTTCTCATACATCTATCGTCTCCCCAGCCCCCCAGACGCGCATTTCCATTAATCCTCCGCTGCTATAAGCAGACTTTAAAAGCTTGACGAGGATGATCACTGTCTCAGCCAGATATTTTCGCGGAAAAGTGATGGTCCTCGGGCGTTTCGCGCCATCGAGAGGCCTCGTTACATGGGGCAACGAGGGTTGCAATAACATCTTAACGTGCATTGTTATTTTTAAATTAGAAAGGTTACTTCACGTTGAATAAATAAAATTATGTTGGAACGAAATCCAGCAGTGTTTAGGGTTTCGATAAAATGAATGGAAGGTTCTGCACTGTCCTCGTAATTTGAGGTTAGGATCCGTCGAAAGACAGACCTTGTGGATGAGTAATTTGTGTCGGTCAGACGCTGTGACTCATCGTGCAAATCTTGGAAACAGTCGATGCAGAGGAACAATTGCATTCGTTCGAAAGGGTGGCCAAAGTCATGCGAATCCCCCGGGGCAATTTCTACGGAATGCCGGTCTGCTCTTTTATCCGTGCAATTTCCCGCAAACTAACGACCCCTTTTAGGCCTGTAATTATCGGGGCCGCGTAAGTCATTGCGGTTCGGATTAGACCGTTACGCGAATCGATTAGCGATCTCGAGGCAAGGATTCTACGACGATCATGATAATTTCGTACGGGGGTACCCGTCATTCTACCTGCTGGTAATGACCTTCGCCCGGAGGGTCGAGTCACTCGTGGGAGGGTCGATTCTTCTGCGGGACGTATCCGATGCACGAGCATGAGAAAATAATACCGACGATCCTTTAAATACTCCACGGACAATTGCGCGTTCGTTTCTGAATAATGTAGCTCGTGACTCACTGGGAAATACAGGCGTGAGGTGTTTCGAAGACAATGACCGTCGGTTCCGGTGTAGAATGCGTTTGCAATGGAGATTGGAAAAGTAAATGACGAACTTGAGGAGACTAATGTTGACAGTTTAATATGCCAAACAGCTACAAAATAAATACAGAGAATTAGAATTCAGTCAAAATGGACGGTACGCGAAGCCTCGTGAGTGACGTTTACGATGAATTTTTGAAGCCTGACCCGCGGCCTTTGCAATGTCAAAACGTTTCCCTCGCCTCGGCTGTAGGGCGTCCGAAAATCTAATTAACCGTGCAAGTAATTTTGATTTACGCGCACTCGGCCGCAACGACTGCGAGCGGTACCCTTTATTCTCGAAGCTACGCTGAACGCAGACCACTATAAGGGGGATAAGTTATGTACGTGCTCGCGGTCACCTGCTACATTGGCCCTCGAGATGCTTTCGGAGCTGGTTGCGCGTGCAGGTGCATTGTGCACGGTCGAATTCGGGCGATCTTAAGATCGCTAGCGCGTACGCGAGACGAGGGAGCCCGAAAACCAGCCGGGAAGACAATGGGAGCGAACCCGCGGGGGAGTCGAAGCGGCGGAACGCTCTCGAATGCCTCCGAGGTCGAAACGAGTCGAGAGACGCTCCCGTCCGCGAATAATCGCGTTTTGACCTCCCGTCGAATCGAGTGTTTTCGTTTCACGTCGAGTGCCAATCGTTTTGCCCTCGCTAAAGCGATAACTAAAGGGGGAAGGATTGATTAGCTCCTACGCGCAACGTACACTCCGGAACAAAACGATACCACGCGCGTTTCAGGCATCTAAATAGCATATACTCCTTATTTATTCTTTAAGCCCCCTGTACACATCTGAAACTTTGAACATATAAACGAGTACATTTCACAGAGGCGTTTTAAAAACAACCAGGGAGCAAACTGGCCGTGTGTTCGTATCATCGTCTTCCGGAAATATGCTCGTGCACCCTGAATGCGGGTTCGAGGTCCCCCTTCGCGCTTTTGAAACCGTATTTTCTTAAAACGTCGCCAACTTACTTTCACCGTCGTCACCCGGAATATTCAACACGCCGCGCGTTTCATTCCACGACGAGCTCTTACCGCAAAATGAAAAAATTCACCCCTTTTCGCGCAGCCCCGGTGTCCCGTGGGAGAAACTCGGCGTTCGTCTGGATTTCTTTTTCCTTTTTCTCCTTTTTTTTTTCTTTCTCTCGTCGCCGGTGCGCGATTTGTCGCAAAATGGAGCACACATACGCACACCGTACGGCGGCAGGGGGGGTGAACCCAGACTCGAATTAACATTACCGAGGGTTGCGTTTTAATCCGAGGCGTGTCGAGTTGACTCGCGTATGAGTCACGGGCGCGTTCGCTGGACACCTTGCGAGTTTAGAGAACCTTAAAGGGTCGTTTCTCTGTGGAAGTTGCGAAATTTTCAGAAATGTTTTCGAAACGAATGCTACCGCCAACGTGGCGACTCTTTTTCGTAGGTTATTCAATTACATTTTAGTGGTACATTCAAATTTTGTACATAGTTTTAGGTAATTGTTTTTTACCGTTATCTTGTGGGCAAGAAACATGTTTTTTAACCCTTTGCCAGGTGAAAAAATTAAATTTTTCTATAAAAATCTAACAATGCTTGAACTTGCGTACTTTCGTGGAACGAAAAGGGAAGAAAAATCGATCCTTTTTTAAGGTGTCGCAGAGAAATGTTCCCCTTAAACAGAGTATGAGGGGTTTGGCGTTGTGGCAACGCGAAGCTTCGCGACCCTGTGCTGCGGAGCTTGCCAACCCTAAAGATTGATGGTGATAGCGGGAGGGGTAACGCAAGTCATTGCCTCGGGAGAGGAAAGTTTAAAGTTTCACCGGAACACGTATTGCCTCTTAAATACACTTAAGCTTAACAGCTTTTTTAGGTGAAGATTTGCCGGACGAACTTCGGGGTCAATCATTTCGTCGATAATAAGATTCTTGCTTAATTCGCGGCGCAAGAAATTCGAGGAGTTTCAAACCTTTCGTGCGCAGGGGGGTGGAAAGATAATTCGTAAAAAACAGTATCAAACGAAAACATAGATCGTAAAAATACAGTAGACCATTCTAATCTCTGTGCTTCTTGAATGCCACTATTTACAAAATCATGAAAAGAATTTCAATAGATTCGGTACGAATTATTATTATTTATTTCAAATGAAATAATTCTGTGCCAAATCCCGCACAATTAAATTGATTGTTTCGATACTATTTGCATTTGTAAATTATTCCGCGATCCGTGGGAAATTGTTTCATATTGCTCGAAAATGATATTTCAAGTTTAGTCGCGACGTTGAGAAACAGTGAGAAATGGCGTGTTTACAACGAAATTTCAGATACCTGGAAAATTAATAAATTCCGTGCTGCGTTGGTCGTTATATCGTTGAAGTAATTTATCCACGATCCCCTGCGAACAACTTTTCTGACAGATATTTCGAATTTCTTTTGTTCCAGGTACGTACACACGATTTTAAAATACGATGCACACTGATGCGCTCCACTAACACAGATACGGACGAGACGTCGTGTAAGTAAAAATATTTTATACGTTTATTAGTAGAAACGCCAAAAAGCATTCGTGTTTTTAATATCGATGTTAATACTGTATTGTTTTGATGCTGGTTTTAAAGAACTACATGATTCTCTGTTAATATGGGGCCTCGTATAAATTGTAACAAATTGATGAGAAAAAGGTTAATCTTGAATCCTCCGCGACATACGGGAAGCGAGAACTAAGATGAGTAGATGACTTCAACGATGATATAGCCTCCAAGGATCACGATCCTCAACCACAACCTGCTTTTCGACATCTGCACTCGATTTGTAAACGTGGGACCTCGAACGATTACCAGTTTGCTTTGTTTGTTTACAAGTAGCCTAAACATCGAGACGGTGATTTTCCAATCTTCGCACGAACGGGTATCGTCTCCCACAACATGTGGCAGACTTCTGTCCCGAGCTCAGGGGCTCCTTAATGGCGGAATTTTATGGTTCGAGTCCGTCCCCGTATCCTTGAATAGATTTCTTTTTGAGTGTCTCGGAGCCACAGATTCATCCAATCACATTTTAATGGTTTTTTAATGAATACGGAACGTTTTGTTTCGACTACCACCGGAAATCCTCCTTTTTTAACTCGTAGCCTAGTTGATCAAACCGTTCAAAGTGAAACAATTTCTTAATTTGATACGAATAGCAGAGAGATGTCCGTCTAAACATTTTCAAAGGAATTTTGCTTTGTGATCGGGAAAGATTGGATTCTAATTGTGAGAAACTCTCTTCATCCACGTGGCTTAGAAAGCTCAACCGGTATCGGCAATATTATTCTATGGAACGGTCGAGAAGCGTATTGAGTCCACTCTCGAGGGCATCCAGCGAGAAGCAACAATCGCGCCTTGCACTTCCGCGAAACCGTTGTTGGTTAAACGGGGGATCTCCTTAAATCTGGCCTAGAATTTTACCTGCTTTCGAACGACCGACAATTCGACCGTGCACTTCTACGTCGAACCGTGCGCGAAACTGTTTGTGCAGCCGTCTTGAATCTATCGGAACAGAGATCTTCCGGGCCACGACTCCAAACTCTTGTCTTGCTCCGGTGTTTATCGAAGCAATTTTCCGCTAAATGGCGTTCGTACGGATGTCGTGTCCATTTAACGATCCTTCAACGCTTCGTGACTCGCGGGGAAAAATGTTTCCGGTTCCTTGGACCTGGCGATGTTTACTTTCGTCTTGGTTATAGTTGTCCAAGCCACTTCAGACAGAAACTTTCCAACCTGAAGAGTCTCCAAACGGGAAAACTATTAGTCCTCCGTTCTTGCATTCGATCGTTAAAACTGAGCATTAATCACGACAGAAGCTTAAAATTTTGAACGTGAAATAAATCGAAATCGACCCAATAGATATAATAATATAGAGTTGAGTAGATGTAGTTATCGAGAAAAGTAAATTCCAGGTGTAATTGTAATAAAAGGGTAAACGATTTATCTCGTGAATTCCATAAACGAAATGCAAATTTCGGTTAGCAGAGATGACGGAAAGCGATAATAGCATCTCCGGGAAGCACTCCGCCATCGTGGCGTCTTCGTTAGGGTTAAACGAATGCTAACACTATTTTCCAACAATCGCCAGGGTGGTCTCCGTCACAGATCAGTGAGCTCCTCTCGCTCCCGAATGGGCTCTCAAGGTACCTGAAATTACGGTGTCGGACACTGGGCGGCCTATCGGTCGTTAACGACTCAATTTCCCATCCACGATCGTGGCCGGTCAGTCCTGGTTGTTTGTTTTCCTAATTTTCCGTGGCTCAGGTAAACAGACTTTGGCGACAGCCGGGTCTAACGTTCCTCGGGATCGACGTTGCAACGCGAGGAGCCTGAAAGGGGCTAATTGTGTCTACCGAAAAATTAGGATCGCCGAACCGTACTTCAAACATCCCGTCGGAAAGGAATTCCCTCGGAAGATTTCCCTGCGGACAGGTAACCGGGCCTAATTCAGACCGTCGCTTCTGTTTCTGTTTCCGTAACTATCGTTCAGCTTGGTCGATTATAAACCAAATAGCAACATCGGTGGAACAACGATGACATGTTTTATAACTTGTTTAGACTACGAACAAACTTTCCGTGGACCGGATAAACAGACGCCTAAAAGGGTCTAATTGTGCCTAGCGAGAAATCAGGATCGCCGGGGTCTTACTCCAAACATCTCGTCCCTTTTTCCGCCCTGAGATATCCCCGCGGAGGGGTAAAAAAAATATTCACCCAGCAGGAGACGCCGCGTCTGGCGTCCAGGAGGCCCGAACGAAACGTGCGTCCATTGTCCTGCGCTCAGACTCCCCGTCAGGTCTGTTTAGGCTTTAAATGCAAATCCTTCGCGTGGACAATACCTGGCGAGATTGGCGCGAACTGTTCGTTTTTGGGTGGGCAACGTGTGCGACAGACATTTGCACCGATATTGCGAGCTTCTCCATTCTTCTTGAGACTTTCCAGCGAGTTGGCCAAATTGTTGGTGGGTCGTGGCGTGCGTACCACGTGTCTGGGGAGGAGTTACGCGAAACGGAACAATAGGCGGCTACGTGACGAAGAACAGTCGGCGACAGATCTTGGAACAGATGGATCGAGAAGATAACTGGGGATCCAGATGAAATCTGGTAACACTCGGCACGTTCCGAACGAATAAAGGAGAACCTTGCCGCCGCGGAACTTTTACGATGTTCGAAAGACCTCGTCGTGTCACTCGATAACGAATCTTCCATTCGAATTCTGACGGACAAGTTTAACGATAAACACCGATCGTTTCTTATTTTTATCGACGATTGATATTGATATTCCAATAAGCAAATGTGATTTTTGTACGTTTCCATGCGCTGTATCGGTACGGTGTATTAGAAAGCGACGAAGATGGTCGAAATGAAACATAATACTACGTGTTTCGGGGTTTGTACGCGAGTCACGTAAAAGCTGTACATCCTGTGGGCCCGAAGCACGATCCCCAAACCCGACGTCCAGATGGACCACGGTATGACACTTCTTAACACAAACAATACCAGCTGTGACTCGGGAAAGTACGAAGAACTCCTGGTTTTGACATCAGTCCACGTTGAGAAAACATTGCCATGGAATACCAAGGCAAAGATAACATTTCGTGTTGCGGCGTTAATTGAAGTTCGGTTTAGAAACAGCTGTACCTTGTCTCGTGCGATTAGACGCTCACTTTCTCGTCTACAATTTTTCCTAATGTAATAATAAAAATTCAAGCGGATGCATACTGTTGTGGATAGAACGAACGAAGAACATAAACAAACATCTGGTAGCAAAAGGATGAGAAAAGTACAAGTTCCGTGTTTGTCTCTGGTTGCGTAAGCACTGCTGGGTGAAGTATCGTCGGTTATTATCCGGAAACGGTCGTTTAGGGTGAAAGAAATTCCTGTCGCGTAGCTGAATATACCGAGCGACGTAAAAGCAACACCATGACGGAGTACCGAGGGACGCGGGATGCAGGGGATTAGCAATTTCTCGAAGTGCGGCTGTGTTACGTCCCTGGGGCATCGTATTGCCCACATACCAATCGATGGTGCCATCAATCACTCACACTCCGCACTCGAAGCAGAAATCTTTCTTTGGATTTCTCGCTGAAGCGTAGAGCAAGTCGACGAGGAGCCTGCTCAACCCCCTACTCTGCATCCTAATAATTCCAAATTCGGGTAGAAATATTAACCACCACGTTTCGAGAAATAAAAGTGATCGAAGTGGTGGTTAAATAAATAATACTAGGCGCTGACGGTGCTCCCGGGGAAACTTTATCGGAATTCACCCTATTCCCTTGGCATATTTGGATATCATCGAGCAGCGCGGAAGTGTGCGTTAATGCCGGGCTGTTTCGCGCGTTTGATAGAACGGGGGAGGATTTAAGGACCCTCCTGTATTCGCGAGCTTCTAATTGTCTGGGTATGCGTAGATTCGACGAAATCTTCGTCACGCACGGGGCTGCGTCTGTTTGGTCCGTGGAATCACGCAAACACCCACCGCGAATACCGAACAAATGCCTGGCATCGGTTAGGCCGATGCACCACCGAAGGGGTGGAAATCCCAGCGAGCTTCCGTCGAGGGTGGGTTGCACTGGAAATTTCGTATTCCGCGCGCCGTGCCTTTCGTTTCGCGTTATCTCTTCTTTTTACCCGCTGCTCGCCTTTCTTCCTCCCACCACCACGCTCGTTAACATCCATCGACAATGAACATCGCGAACTATATTCGGTACGAAAACGCACGAATTGCAATTAGTCTTTGCAAACAGTTGCGTAAAGAGGGCTGTTGAGGTTAGATTGTGTTTCGTACGCGCTACGGAATTCTATTCGGTTCGAGTTTACTTCGTAATGACTCCTCGAGTGGCTCGAGTTTTCAAAACTTCTCGAATTTCCATTTTATTATCTTTGAACGTCTGGCGATAATCCACCTCGAAAGACGCGAACAGAAACCACTTAACACTTTACTGGCCGCCTATTTCGGGTCGAAACTATCCCTTTGAAAAGAAATACTCGTAGAAGCAAACTATGCAACAGATGCATCATACAATTAGGTAGCCTTTAACTAATTAATAAAGGACGGATGATAGTTCACTGGTTCTCGGTGTATAACGTTTAAAGTATCGATCGTGTTTTATAGTTTCTGTCGTGTCGTTATATGAAGGTGGACGCGTGGAGTCTTTACACCTTAATCCATCGTAACTTCGAAACAATGATTCCGTACAGTCTTCTTTTATCTAAGACTTTTCGTCTGTATTATGATCCGGATTTGCTACCTGAGTATTAGACGCATACAGTCCTCTGACCACCCTGCACAACGCGAAGGGAAGACGCCGCTTACGCGCCTAATCGTCGTGTTCAGCGGGACTAATCGGACTTTCGGTTGGTAGGGACATCTGTTATGGTCGGGCCGGATGCTTCTTCCACGCAAGCACGACGCAAATGTGTTTGTCATACTCGTGACTTTCAGGCGTCGTCGCGGTGCTCCGAGGAATTAGAGGGACACTTATTCAAAC